AAACAATTCAACAATTTTGTGACCAACATCTCTCGATTCAAAGCCAAGAACTGAATTTTGTATTTCTTCAGCGTCTTGCGCACCAATAAAGTTGGGTGGAAAATCTTCAAATGTCGATTGAACAATAATATCTAAGTCGAAATGAATTCCACCGAATTTGTAGATAGACAGAAGCCTAAGAAAATCGGATAAATGACCCATGAAATGTTCTGTTGTGAGCATTTTATCTTTTTTCACCCATTCTTCGGCTGGTATATCAACGACAAAGAACGTGTGAAGGCTTTATACTATTTGTGATTTTTGCAATAATATGGAGCCGCCATGATTATTTACCAATCAATAGTACTGCAGTACAGTGTATTCGAGTCCGTATATTCTCCACTACTGCTTGAAAGCACAATGGTATAGAAATCTGCAAGAATTTACGTATCGTTCTTTATACCAATCGACGTTGCGATAATGAATGTTTGAGTTCGTCGACAATGCTTTCAATACTGGTGAATTGGCCTGTCCATTTGAAGACAAGCCCACAGGTGAAGAGAACAATACAAAAATATCACGGTTCGGATTCCACGTCACAGCCGATTCGATGGCACATGCACATGTCTACACAAAAGAAACAATTAAAATGGAATTAATACGGAGGCTAGTTGAACTATTCGAACGAACAAACAGTCGATTACCTCGAAGTAAATGATACGATCAAATTTTTACACGATTTTTCCTTGAAAAATACCGTTCTATCAAGTTTCGGTGGTGATGCCGTTATATCGTCAAGACGCTTCAATTTCGATAATAATTTGGACAATTTGAATAAAGTTGAAAGTCATTTCGTATTTTTTTCATAATCACAATTAATGAAGTTAAGTAGAGTTGAGCCGAAAAGTTAAGAATTCAAATCGAAGTAGTGAAAAAATATACATTTTTCATTTAATCAAATCTTGTCTATAATTACTCGACAACGGGTCCCGAATATATTTTTAGCCCTAACCAACGTGCATTGAAATTATTTTGAATAAACAAAACTAATTTTTTTTCTAAAACTTAACGAGGACATTTATTGATTGCTGATAAAATCGAGGACAT